TGATGTTACAATAGAAAATAAGATTAATAAATTTGTTTGAATTTAATGTGGCATATCCTCAACGTGGCTGTTGTAAATATAATTTGCTAAGGAACAGTACGGACAAAGAGGTGGGTTTTAAAGGTTCAAGTTGTAATTTGAAATCTGGTCGCCAATTAACATTTACGTGCGGAAAACCGCTAAGCTATATTTGGTGAAATATTAGCGAGAATCTTGATCGCAATTTATTTTCGGTAAACGGAATAATGACAGGTGTTCTATCCCAATGGAAGCAAATACAGGAATTGCTGGCTTCACGCCACTTGGAAGGGCATGAGTGCTGAAGAAAACTCTAGAATCCTCAGTCAATTATGAATAAATGCTGTGATAAGTCTGGTGCATTTCTACCGTTATAAAATGCATCAATAATTTGCTATCGAGAAAAGAGAAATGTTTTGATGCTTAGGAAAATATCCGATTGTTCTAAGGATAAAAAAATACTTGTGTGAATAGAAACGCTGTTTCCTGTAGATCAACTCTTGATAAAAAAAAAACATTGGTTTGACATGCTGAAGCGAGGTGATTTGTTGTTTTCCTGTAAGTTGTTTAATGTTGATACAAAGATATATATTTTGTGATTCAGCCAGGCGATCAACACAATAAGTGGTAAGCAGAAAATCGAGTTGTTTTGGCGTCTTCTTAAATGATAATCACATCACGGCAATCACATTTGTTCATCTTACCTTAACCTTTCCATAAGACATTCCAAATATTGTAATTCTACAGGGTGGTCTGAAAACCTTTAATACATGATCTATTCAGAAGATTTCATCAGTTTTAAGTCGTGTTCTTTTATAATATGTTCCAGTAATTTCAAGTTTTAACTATGAGTGTATTTTAAATTCGGCTTAGAACTTCTTCCATTCTCACATGTTCTGTCCATGATATTCCCTAGAACCCTATCTCTGTCGCTTTGTATCTATTTTTTCTCTCTGAGAAAAATGTTCAGAATCCACTGCCATACAGGGGTATAAATACACCATTGCAGTTCAGCACTCTTTTCAGTGTTTCGAATGAGATTTTCATATATCTTATTACTGTGCTTAATTTCGGAAAGGCTGCTTTCGCTATGCCGATGTGCTTTCGTATCTACGTTTTATCCGTTTTTTCGGCTGTTATTGTGCAAGTTAAATAATGGTAAATAATATTTTGCATAATTTCTTCCTAGATCAAAGATTTATCCGGCAAAATAGTTTAAAGACAAACACAATATCCTCTCAATCTTTCTCTGTCTAGAATCTTAACCTTTTCAAATCTTTGATTAACCATTATCTTCCACAAATATATCCGCATGTGTCTCCCTTACTCTGCAAATTATTGTAATATATATATATATATATATATATATATATATATATATATATAATGACATGACTTTGGAATCCTTCCGCTTCGTAATCTTTTTCTCAATAAAATAGCCCTAATCAAAACTAACTCAATAGAGCCTTAAGCATCTTCTCATCTAGAACAATATTTTACAAAGAAATCACCAATATAAAACAAACACTTATAAATAACAATTTCCTTAATACACTAGTCGACCAAAATATTAACACAATTTATTAAATATCTATATGGTAATAACAAAGAAAAAACGACTAACAACAATAACACTATTAAAGTCTTCTATAAAATCAAATGCACTGCAACTATAAACTCATTGAACTTGCTATAACCAACACCATCCACAAATGCATTAAACCCGTTAAACAACATAAATAAATAAAGTTAATAATAGACTAGACTAAATTTAAAAACTCTAACATAATTGTTCGAAATAATTCTACGCACACCAAACCGTTCCTAAACAAAACCCATGTAGAGTAAAGTTTTACTAGCTCATTTCTAGAATGTTTCTTACATAATAACCCTAGCATATTCATCGGACACTCAACCACACCTCTCTCACGTAGGCTCACATACCACCTCAATGACACTAGCGCCATAAAAACAAAATCATGTTGTAACAATACATGGCACCACTAGTAACCCATTCAATTCATCTGACATAAAAAAAATCTTAATAAGCAACACCAAAATCTTCTATAAAAACAACTGTAAAAAGACGACTACCAATTCTGGAAGCTATCCTCATAAATACCAAAAGATAATTAAAATAACATTTAATACTAGGAGAAAGATATATTAAAGATCAATCCCCTCCTTACAAATAATAAACTAACCCAATAATATCGCCTAATATATTCTATAAAACTAAAACATCCAATAACATATCTCTAAATAAAAACAAACGGCATGATGATGGTTGAGGATAACCGAAAGCGCTCGACAGAAAGCTTTTGACTCGGATCCCACTTTAACAACCTGGAACCAAACATTAAGGAACTTGCGAGAAAAAAAATCATCAAGCGGAAAAGTTTCGTAGTCTTTAATAATGTGACACTATTTAGGTCGCTAGAAAGAAAGAAGAAAAAAAAGTAAGGCGAGAATTAAATTTAGGTGATAAGAAGCCATCACAAAAAGGACACTAAGTGATGTTATTCTTTTTGACAAAGAGAAATGCTAAAAGTTTTATTCTCATTAGCGAGAAAAGTAAGGTCGCGGATGTTTCGGATTTAATCTGATTGATGTTACGGGGCGGCAAATAAGATACATCCAATCTGCCCATGGCAATGGTAAACATTTCAAGTTGGACAAGCGACCTCCCGCAGAATTCTAAAGAGATAAAAATTAAATAGGTCACCAGCTGACCGAAAACAAAAATGTCCGCTGACCACCATGAAGGAAAGATTAAGCCTTTGTCTATATGCAGAATATCATTAAGAGGAGCATCTGTTTATTGTCAGGGCTGGCTATGATAGCAAAACTATTTTATCGGAACAGTTAATTAGCGACAGAATGCAAATACGTCCAGTTAAACCATCCACTTGATGCTGGCGAAAATCTGATTGATGAATTCCAGGTGACATCCAGATAAAATTGAGATCAAGAGAGCACACTACGAGTCGTATTGGGTTGTTGTCGAGAAGAAAAAGAGAAGAAGGAAAAGAAAAAGAAAAAGGAAGATAATTTTTTTTCTTTGAGAAAGATTTTTTAAACCGAGGCCAGTCTAGCCACACCCACGCCGCTGAACGCCCATTGGATGAATGGTGGCGTGAGAGTTAGGCGGATGTAATCATGTGAAGTAGAAGGGGAGGCCTGTTGGCACACATTGAGGGGATAGGTGTGAGATGCCACTGTGAGAGAGAGGGGAAACCCGTTGACACCCTCTGAGGGTATGGTGAGATACCAATATGAGAACAGAAAAAGGTGGGAAGACGAAAGACTTCCAAAAATGGAAAATGATAAATTTTCCTTACCGAAAACAAAGAAGTGGATTGTGGATTTAGAACTATCAAGGAACCTCAAATCCCGACAAGGCCACCCCGGTTTTGGTCGGCGTGCATATAAGGAGAGTTGCAGCGAGTGAAAAGCAGTTCCAGTTGAGTTGGCAGTTCGAGTTAAATTCGCAGTTCGCAGCTGAGTTGGATTGAGATGGGCCCCGCCTCGCAGAGCTGACTAAGATTCGCGCATTATCGACCTCAACTTGTAATCAAGAACAATTTATTTTTGAAGAACGACTTAGACTCACACCACCAAAACAAGTTTTTACGAATATCACCTGAAGATACACCAAGAACCAGTTTCTTAAAGACCAAACAACTTAAGATATTAAGACTCGCCTAACAAACACAAAGTGTCACGAATCCATATAGCGGGTTGGGAAGAAGATGCAGTCCTGTATTCAGCAACCAGATATAAAGTATTCTTATCCTTTTTTTTAACACATTTGTACTTTTCGAGTTATTTTCTTTTCTTTTACATATACTTGTGTGGTGTTACCCTTGGCAGGAGTCAGCTTGCATTACGGCCCGGCGACTGATTGATTTCGTCTACCTAAGATCAAATCACAACGTGGATATGTTAGACTAGAAATCAAAACAGTTACTTCGGTAACCAGACGTTGGAGGCGAGATGGGAACGACAAGGCTAATACCGAATCTAACCAGATTCCCATCCGAATCAGCAAAAGGTTAGAACGTCACATTCGGTGCCGCGACCAATACCAAGTTACATTGGTCGTCACGCGGCCAGGCAGACATCACGATTGGAGCAGCGACACCGGGGGGGGGGCGTTCATAATAACGAAATACTGCAAATATATACATATATGACATGTTTTTATGTTTATACATTCTTTTTATAGATACAAATATTTAAGTAAATGCTCTGTTTTAAAATAACAGTATTAATAACATTTACCGGCCTGAATGTCCGAGAAATTTTCATAGAAAATAGTCGTCCACTGAGAGGAATCGAGCCTGTATCCTAAACGGAAGCTTCATTTAGCTTGACGTGGCTTTACCGATCGCGCCACGGAGAATTGCTCGCTTAGCAAGGTGGATTTTACTACTTTTAAACTTCAATCTTCCATGAATCTCTCACGTACATTCATATCTACTGAAAGCATATCCAAATGTAAACAAATGACGTTACACAATATCGAACCTGTATCTATGAATCTCTCACGTTTGAAACAAATGTCTTAAAATAATTGTCGGACTTTGTATATATATATATATATATATATATATATATATTAGTGAACATTGTAGTCAACACTCAGAAGCGACAGGCTGTTTCATACTAGACGCAATCTGCCTGACGATTGCGTCTATCATTTTATATCTATATTTACATACGCTCTATCTCTGATATTGATCACTTTATCTCTTAAATATAGCAGACCTTAAAACTATATCTTCATATATATATATATATATATATATATATATATATATATATGGTAAATCAAAATTCTGTTAACACTAATATGAGAGGAATCATTTATTCAGAGTTTACTGATCAGTTCCAATTGTTCCCCAGCACGATTGATGCACAAAAACACCGATTACCAATAAAATTTAGTGCGTTGACACACATGTGACAGGGAATGTTTGATGTTACACCTGTCCTTGAGTTCTTCGATATGTTTTTCGCTACACACGCGATCCTTTCTCATACCCCATAACCAGAAATCCATTGTAAGGCAATAAAGCCACTGAGATACAAGCGGTTACTGAGTGTGGAAAAATTAGAAAGCAGAAACATTAATAATGACGAGTACAAAAAGTGTAATCAGGAAGACAGTAGATAACGATTGACATTACATTTAATTTCTAACGAGTAATGTTAGCTGGAAAGCATGAAGTAGAAAAGGAGTTCCACAAGCGAGAAATGCAAGAATAGAAATATCTAGTCAACTCAGCTGCAAATTCTGATATATTGACGATAGTCTATGACTGTGCTTAAATTCAAAAAACTCTAGATACCATAGCAAAGATCTCGTTCAAATATTTACCACTAATAAATTTATAGAAAGTCACAAGGAGGCAACCTTATAGCGGTAGAAAAGTAACTGAAGTCGAGAAGCTAGATAAGGACAAATAATATTCCTGGTTCTTCTTTGGATTTAATCAAGGAACTCTAGATAAATAACAAGAGCAACGGACCATATACGGCAGCAATTATCTAGAAAGGGACAAATGGTAGACCTATAGTTATGTAGGATAGGTTCTGGAGAGAAAGATTATATATATATATATATAGTCATGTCTGTTTGCATAAATTGCAAAGATTACGTCTGCATATTTTTATTATTATCCTCTTATATTCACGAATATTATTCCGTATATTACAACTGAATATCTTGACTCTTTCAGTTGTAATATACGGAAAATATTCGTGAATACGAAAAGATTATGATAACGCAAGCAAGCATAATGTTTGTAATTTATTCAATCAGACATGACTAAAAGAGTATTTGCTGCCTAAATACACACACACACACACACACACATAAATATATATATATATATATATATATATATAGAGAGAGAGAGAGAGAGAGAGAAAGAAAGTGATTTATAATATATGTAGCTATGTATTTTCGAACCTCTTTATTCATAATAAAAAAAAATATTATTAATTATAATATAGAATATTTCAGATGATATTCATCTTGGCTGTTTTGAGTAGCGTTATATTGCATGTTTTTTCATATCTCTCAAGTCTAAAGTCAGATTTTTCTGATTAATTTAGTAGTTTTCAGAAGAGCTCTGTTAAATAACTACAAGATTTTTCTGTTTTAGTCATTATATTGATGTGTGACGAGCTATTTTACTTGCACACTGAAAATAAAATAATACATATATTTGAACATTGCAAACACAAATTAATTTTTCATTCAATTTTTCGAAATGAATTTTTTTTTTATTTTTGTCTATCCTTTTAAAACCAGAATGAACATTCACAACAATATATAACAAGAATATTAGAATTAACTGTTATATCTACAGTATTCTAAATGGACTGTTTTAAAATCACTCGGTATTGTGGAGAATTTGAGTGTTCAGGTGAGAGAAAAAGCAATGTACTTATCTGGGTTGTAGGTTCCTACTAACTAAAAGTGGTTACGTTTTTACTAACTTCTTACAGTTACTGGGGTCATGTGACTTTATTACTATGGATCACTGAAGTAGTTATAAAGAAAGTGTTTTCTTTTTCCTTTTTATCTTTCTTTTTTACTTAATGAAGCTTATTAGACTCTCATGTTATATCGCAGAAAGGAATCTTATTTCGCAACTTAAGGTAAGTGCTTTTGCTTCTTTTCCTCCGCCTGGACTGTCTGTAGATTTTGGTGGGGTTGAGATTTTATCGACATAATGTTGTAATAATATCATACATTACTAATTGAGGGTTAATTCTCTTATTTATTATTAATAGGTAGAGATTGAAGTATTTTGAATCTTCCTTTAAAGTAAATGCTATATAATATTTTAATATTATCTAATAATTTTAGCATATTGAGTTCATGTTATGTTATATCCCATAGTGCCTTTCTGTTCGAACCAGAAAATGTGAATGTCATATAGGATTACAGTAGTTTTAACGTCTGTCCGTCTTCAGGTGTCTATTCAATCTACGAGTAAGGACTTTTCTCCTTCAGCTTTCCATTGATTTTGTATCAGTTAATTCTCTCTAGTCTTTTCGCATAGCATGTCAGATTCTCCGGCTGAATAATATACATTTCTATCTCTACTTGACCAGAGAATCCACGACTTCGAGGAAAATGGATATTCTTTAACGAAAGCTTTCATCCACTGTTGTCCTTTGGACATATAAGTAGCCTTCATTCTAATATCTGTAGTCATTTGATGGAATTGGAAGGCGTGCTTACTTTCTCCATCAGAAATTCCAAGATTCTAATAATGTCTTTGCTATCTTGACTCAAGCGTTTTTCCCAAAAAGACACATGTGAAATCTTAAATTTAAGGGATTTATATCGAACGTTGAATTAGGTGCGTTGACAACGGTGGAAATTATTGTTTATTGTTTAAAATGTTTTTTTCATTGACACTCTACGGACTATTGATGTATCTGTTTATATGAACTAAAATT